AGGTTCGAACAGTCCTTTTAAGGACTATGGCCAAAAGGCCTAAAGTCTCTGAGACAGATGAGACATCCACCCAAGAGATGGAGGTGTCTCTGCAACTCGAAAGAGTGATGTTTGCGGAAAGTATCCGTGACGAGATACAAGAGTACATGTCAATGAACAACACAAGTAAGATGACGTCAAAGCATGCAGCGTTCATCTACGAAAAAATTGACAAGATTATCGACATAATAAGGAACAGTGAAGAAGATCCACTGAGAAATGTAATGGACTCTATTAACACAAAACTGGACAAGGTCCTTTCTACGACAGTACCTGTACAAAGTTATGCTCAAGTAGCAGCTAAGAAGATGAAACAGCAACCCAAGGAAATAATATTGAAGGAGCCGGAGCGGGAGGGTGAAGACCCAGAAAGAACTAAAGATAGATTAAAGAAGAATGTTAATCCAAGACAGCTGGGAGTAGGAATTCAGGCTATGAGAAAATTGAGAAGAGGTGGTATTGCGATAGAAGTCGGCACTGAAGAAGAGAAGAAGAAGTTAAGAAGACAGATAGAAGAAAAGATTGGCCTGAAGACTAGAGAGCCAGTAAAGAGAAGACCTCGGATTGTTATCTATGGAGTGTCTAAAAATGCATCAAAAGAAGAAGTAGAGGAATGCTTATTTGAACAGAATGATATATTGAATCTAGATATTGAAGACTATAAAAAAGAAGTAGAATTGAAATTTAAGTATGGAAATAGACAAAAACAGACAGTAAATTGGGTAGCAGAGGTTAGCCCAAGAGTGCGCCAAGTATTGTTGCCAAAAAAGAAAATTAATCTGGGATGGTCCAGATATGGCATAGAAGAGTATATAAATGTCACACAATGTTACAAATGCTGTAAGCTGGGATATATCGCTAAGAATTGCGATGAAAAAGACATTGTCTGCAGCCAATGCGGACAACATCATAGATTTAAAGATTGCCCGAATAAAGGACGTGCCGATTGCTGTAACTGTAGGAGGGAGAAGCTGAAGGATACATGCCATAATGCGTGTGACAAAAAGTGTCCCCTAATTCAGAAAGTGAGAAGAATGATAATAGCCAAAATAGATTATGGCTCAAACTGATCTAGAAGCGCTTCAAACGCTTAAAGTTTTACAAGTTAACACTCAGAAATCAATAGGGGCCACTTCAATGTTATGCAAGATAATGGAAAAAGTGGATGTGGCTATAGTACAGGAGCCCTACTGCCTAAGAGGAACACCGGGCTGCCTACGTGTATCATACCGAACATTATACAATCATTGTGAGACGCCGAAGACATTGATAATAGTGAACAATAAAAACATACCAGTTGTAAACTACACGCAATGGAGTAATAGTAGAATGATGTGTATAGAAGTTGGACGTGGAAACAATAGTGTATTATTGATAAATATCTATTGCCCAATAACAGGGGACTTAGGTCCCCTTTTAAGTGAGCTGGATGAATTGATTAGACATTTCACACATAAAAACATAATAATAGGAGGAGACTTGAATGCCCATTCACAGTTGTGGGGCGATCCCGACGACAATGAGAGAGCAGAACTGTTGTTGGATTTTGCCAGCTCCAATGAACTGCACATATTTAATGACCCTGAATCACAGCTGACCTTTGAAGGGCCAACAGGCCGCAGCTGGATTGATATTACAATGTGCAATAACAGAGCACTTAGACTTGTTCAGGGCTGGGCTGTTTCTCCAATTTCCAGTCTCAGTGACCATAACTATATCTTCATGACAATCGGACAAAGTGGATGGACTGCAGAAGATGATATGACACATTATGCTATCAATAGAGCAGATTGGAAGCTCTTTCAGGAAAAACTGGAAGAAGCTATGGAAAACATAAGCCTGAATGAAATACCAAATAGACAAGATGCTGAAAACAGAATAACAAGGTTTCACACAACGGTAGTGGAAATATGCGATATGACCATTCCAAAAAAGCGAAATAGGAGAAGAACAGTTCTGTGGTGGACAAAGGAGTTAGGGGAAATGCGGAGAATTAACAATCAACTCCGCAGGAGATATCAAAGAGTGAGAGATAATCAGGAGAGAAGGAGGAAAAGAGGAGAGTACTTGGAACATTGTAAATTGCATAAAGGAAAAATTAAGGAAATCAAAATAAAATCCTGGAAAGAGTTTTGCACTAGAAGTTCTAGTAAGCCATGGAACTATATTTATAAGGTGAGTGCGGGTAAGCTGAAGCTACCTCAGTACCTTACAGCACTAAATGTTAATGACAGGTACACAGAAGGATATGAAGAGACGGTACAAACTCTTATGACAGAGTTCTTCCCAGATGATGACCACAATAACGACACGACAGAGCATAAACAGATAAGAGAGGAAATAATCGGACCATACATTGGGCTGACAGATCCGACATTTACAAAAGAAGAAATTCAGAATGCTGTACAACGACTCAGAACAGGGAAAGCACCTGGACATGATGGAATTGTTGCAGAAGTGATACATAAGATCTGGGAAATAAACCCCAATTATCTCAGCAGTATTTACAATTTGTGCCTAAGATTTGGGATCTTCCCAAAGATTTGGAAGATTGCGAGATTGGTTATTATTCCTAAAGGAGATCAAATGGACAACACTACAGACCCCTGAGTCTACTTCCGACGATGGGGAAGGTGATGGACTTTCTTATAAGCCAGAGAATTACACAACATTTGATTAAACTGGATTATCTAAGTCCAAAACAGCATGGATTCCTACCGAATACCTCAACAGAGGATGTAATTTGTAAAGTCGTCGATGGTATAAAAAGAACCTTGGATCAAAATAAGTAAGCGGCATTAGTTTGGATATTAGAGGGGCCTTTGACCATGCGTGGTGGCCCCTCATCTTAAAGACCCTAAGAACAGCAAAGTGTCCAGTAAATATATATGAAGTAGTATCAGACTATCTTAGAAATCAAAAAATAATCTATCAAGCAAGTGGCACAAATATAGAGAAAGTGCTTAGTAGAGGATGTCCACAGGGGTCGAACTCAGGACCCCTGTTCTGGAACGTTGTTTATGACAATTATCTGAAGACAGAGAAAGGAGAGAGGATCATTAAAATGGCATATGAGGATGATACAATTATTCAGTTCGGCTCAAATTCAAGAAGAGACATAGAAGAGAAAGGCAAGAAAATATTAAAACTAGTCTCAAATCGGGGAAAAGAGCTAAAGCTCTATTTTAACCCCATAAAGACGAGGGCAATTGTCTTCTCAAAAGGAAACACCCCAGATTTATACAAAAGAACACCAACCATAAGAATGGAAGGTCAAAGTATTAAAGCTGAAAGACAGATTACTTACCTGGGTGTGGTGCTGGACCATCGTTTAACTTGGCTGCCACATGCAAAATATATAAAAACAATAGGTACAAATTTATTCAATGCATTGGCCAGAGTGGCCAAGGCTAAGTGGGGCCTCACTACAGAGGCCATCAATACTATTTACAAAGGGGCATTTATACCTAAGGTAACATACGCTGCAAGTGCGTGGCACGAAACCACGAAGAAAACCTGCATAAAAAAGAAACTAAGAAGCACGCAGAGAACAGCACTGCTAAGAATTACGAGAGCTTATTGTACAACTTCTACCGAAGCACTTATGGTAATAGCGGGAACAATCCCAATTGAACTAGTTGCACAGGGAAAAGCAAGAACATATATGTGCAGAAGAGGTCACAATATCATATTAAATGAAAATTCTCTCAGTGAAACAGAATATGAACCTCAACCAACAGCAATTATGCTACCGAGAACTTATGATCATAAGGCCATTGTAATGACAGAAGAAGAGGAGAGTGGAGAAATGGAAATCTTCACTGATGGATCGAAGATAGAGGACCAGGTGGGAGCTTCCTTCCTGGTCATGCAAATGAAAAGAAAATATATCATGACAAATTCAGACTTGATGATCGGTGCACTGTGCACCAAGCTGAACTTTTCGCCATACTTCAATCGGTGAGATGGATCATCTCTGCCCAACTGTCTGGCTCCATCATTATTGTAAACACTGATAGTAAAGCTGCTATTTATTCTCTGCAGCAGTTTAATGATAGAAATATTATGGCATTAGAAATTAAGAACTTAATTAAGGAATATGAACTAAAGATTAAAATAAGGTGGGTCAAAGCCCACATAGGCATTATGGGCAACGAAAGAGCAGATGCTCTGGCCAAGGAGGCCACTTTACAGAGGAAATAGCATATAACAAAATACCATTGTCCTATATTAAGAAAATGCTTTGTCAAGAATCCATACATGAATGGCAAGAGGAGTGGAGCTACAGTGAGAAGGGATGGCATACCTTCTGGTTGCTCCCTAATATTCAGGAAAGAATACAAGATCTAAACTGGCTCCCAATAGATTATATAATGACACAATTGTTGACTAATCACTGCAACACTAAGGAATACCTGAATAGGATCAGCAAACATCAAGATATATCTTGTGAATGTGGAAACGGAAACCACACTTGGAACACGTTATAAATGACTGTTCAAGATACGACATGGATAGGATGCAGCTATGGCTGTTAATCACAGAGTGTTTAATTAATAAATACCACTGACTTGGACTTATACAGAATCATTCGGACTAAAACACTAGCCCAAGATATGAAAACCTTCACGCACAAAGTTCTGTCGTGAGGGAGGGAGGGAGCGAGTTGCTCCCTTTAGCGACAAGAGTCGCAATCTTGTAAAGGCAAGATGCCTATGTTTTAATGTATTCTTTTAAATTAGTTGTTTGTATTACGACTTTAAAAGTTTAATTGTAAAATTAGAAATAAAGATAGCGTTTCCCTTGTGGTGCTAATAGCGGGACAAGGGTGACTCTAATCCCCAAATGGGGAAATGATGACTATCCAATGAAAAAAATATATATATATTAAAATACTATAATATATATCAATAAAAAATATATTAAAGAATATTAATGATTTAAAATATTCTTTTACCTACATCTCTTTTCGTTTTCTTTGTTCCTCCATTTGTTGTTCTAATGCTTTTCTATAATCATCTTTATTTCTCTTTGTATCTTGTTTCCAATAAATTTTAAAAACATATAAATATTTTACATATTTAATATNAGTCACGTTGCTCAGGAGTTAATATTTGAACTGAAATAAATTAAATAAAACATATATCTACCAAATTGAAATGATCCATTTCTATTCTGATCATAAGCTGAAGAAGCAAAACCAAATATGTTATTGGAAGTCAGCATGTTGTAACTGAAAAAAAAAATTTTATTTACTTTTTATTTTCACTGAAAGTATAGTAAAACCTCAATTTAATAGATTAATTTGGGTGACTTAAGCCAAAGGTCAGTTATACAATAAAGCAAGTTTTCCAAATGCCTGTATTAAAAAATCCAGCAACATTTGGTGGTGCTATCTGTTATAATATTTTATTTTAAAAAACTTTTAATATTTTTAACTATTATAAAATAACAAGATGCTTAATTCTGAAAGTAGGGCTGGGTTTTCTAAAAATTTGTAAATGCTAATAACAAGTAAAATCATCATTAAATCCAACTCTATTGGGGATGCACACAATTTCCTTTATATCCCCACTCCCTCAACCTTTAATCACCAAAATTTAATAGCATCAATCCCCCTAATACACAAACCTCCCTTCAAAATTTCAGAAATTTTTAAGAAAAAACACAGGAGTTATTAAGCTTCAAAGAGGGTGAACAAAATTGTAACCTTCCATACACACAGAAAAAACCATGAATGTTTTTGCATTTCTCAACATTTCAATGTCAAGTCCAAAAATGTAAAAAACTTGGGGTCATTTTTTTGACTGATCACCATACTTTCCCTTTGTTATATATAACACAGCCAGGAAAGTAATAAGGGTCCATTTTCCATGACTTCATTTTTGATATACTGTGGAGTCAAAGTGACAATGTCTGTGCTCCCTGATGCAATTGAGCATGCCTAATGGAATATGGGAGAGAAAAATAAAAGAACAGCATTGTGTGTGCTTAATGAAAAATAGACATAAAAAAAATATACAAGAACAAAGCAATCAATGGCAATTGATTTGTTCTTGGACCATATCTCCATGTCAGCAAGTGCAAGGATCATCTCTCCATACCAGGCCAGTGAAAGGATTGCATTTTCCAGGATGGCAGCTAGAAGGATCATCTCTTCTATGGCTGGCAAGTACAAGGATTCCCTTGTGAGAGTATAAAACGTGAGAACTAATTGACACATAGAACTTAAGTGATTCCTTCGAAGGGAGAATTTAGAAAAAGCGTGCTTGATGGAGCAGATACTTAGCAGGGGGAATCCACTGAACTCAATAGGGACTAGACAAAGACAACCATCCAAGGATACAAAATAACCCTTTAATTTTTCTGGGAGCATACAGTACTTCTAAAAATTATTAAGACACAGGAACGTATGGAGCCCGACAATCTAGTATACCGAATGTCGTTAACATCAAATCTCCCAACAATATACTGCTCAAAACTCCCAAAACACGAAGACATAAAACATACCGACAAAATGGGTTTGAGGTATATCTCTTCCTTTTCTTCACTCTGGGCAGAAAACAGTTCGAAAATTCCAAAAATCTCCACATTGACTTGGTTGCACAGTCTTTACTTTCCCACGCAATTTCACCACCACCACTACTTTGCTTCTTCCCCGTCCTCTCCTTACTTCCGTTCTGACTTCCCCCCGAGACACACCCTCCAATAAAACTCCCACCTTCAGTTACACACCCCAGAATTACACAACTCCTCTCCACCAAGTCGGACCTACCACATGGTGAAGGGGGGCAAGAAAAGACGTAAGGCACACCCTCTCCCATTGCAGCAGGTACAAAGAAGGCATTGGAAAGGTAAAGACAGAGGGGGATACATGCCCAAAGTGCCAAAATGATAGAGCACCAAAATTCATAGGAAACTGTCACACAAATATGAAAAATAATATGCATTATATTAATTAAAAGTGATTTTATAATTTTTAAGTTTGTAACAGACTGATGAAAGGCTTATCTAAAAGGTATCATATTTAAATTTGCTTCTGGTGTCAAATGCTCTAGTCACATATATAGGTACAGTACAAGGATAGCCTCTTTTGTGCAAAGATTGCTTCTTTTTTTTGTTTCACCTCAATTCTATTGCAATATAACAAGGTGGTACAATGTCCTAGTAATTGATTCACATACAAGCAGTTCCCAGGTAATGACACACCCAGCTTATACCAATCCAATCTATTCATAATAAATCTGATTCCAACATACAACGGTGATCCAAAGTTACAATGCGATGTCGACATAGCGGGTGCTGGCAGCATAAGTACAGGATGCAAACTGAAACTACCTTTTGTTATTGTTGTTCAGTGCAGTATAGGAATACAGTGAAGTGAGTGAAGAAGACTGCATTGAGCACCATTGTGGTATGTTGTTCTTGCATTAGCCTATACTTTTGTTATGTTAGTGTATGATGATTTTGTATCTTTTTGTCCTTTATTATGGCTCCCAAGCATAACATTGATTCTACTGATGGCAGCATATCAAAGAAAAGGAAAGCCATCATGATGGGAGTGAAATTAGACATAGTGAACCAAATTATGATAAAATCTGATTTACATCAAGTCATAGGAATGGATCTCTTTTGTGACTTGGAAACTGCTGGTACTTGCAAATGATAGACCCTATACATTACTATTCTCTGACAGACTAGTTTGTGAGACTGAACAACAAACTGACAATTAGGCTACTATTTCTATAAACTGAAAATTAAAATTTTTATACTATAACTTGTATGCAATTCATCTTTCATTTGCAATGTACACATTGAATATTGGCTATTTTTGAATATAATTATGAAACAGTCCAAAAGTGGGGCTTTTTTTTTTTGGGACAGTTTTAGAATCAGAACAGCATATTAAAAAGTAGGACTCTCCTGTTTAATATGGGATGTCTGGTCACTGTAATTAAGACAAATATAGAGCTATATTGACATATTAATGGTAAGTGGATTTTTGTGGTTAGACCTCTGTCGAATGAGAGAAAGCTATACAAACCTTTCAAAACTGTAGAACCATTCTGTTCCAAAACTTTTCAGAGAACAAACTTCATTCTTTTTGCTGGTGTGTTGGATTACTTTGCATTTAAAAGTTTAACTAATTTTCATTTACAGTTTTATTAGTTCATTTAATAAACCTTGTTACTGTTCTTGAGAGAGTCATCTGATTGTATTACGGCAATATATATATATATATATATATATGTTACTGTGAAAGACCGAAATTAGAGAATGTCGACACATACAAAATACACCGGTGAAAGACTGAATATTTGATTATATTATTACACATTCAAACAATCGCCAGTGTATGTCGATAAGCACAGATAAGCTTTGGTGGAGGTCGAAACGACACCTGTGAAGCTGATGCCGACAGAGAGGCAACAGTCTGTACCAAATCCTTTGTGTGTAGCCGGAGGTAGGACAAGGTCGTACCTCTTTTCCTGGCAGTGGTTTGGTGGAACCTGTCCACTTTGTTACTGGATGGCATTTTTGTTCTTTTGATCCCGTGAGGTGGGATCAGTTTGTCAGGTCGAGTGGCAGTGGATGAGAGGGATCGTCGGTAAGGTGTTGGCGATATCTGAATAAAAGACACCATTAACAGATCAGTTCATAACCACGTAATAACGTAATCAGTTCGTAATTTGTTAAGAAAAGTTACTTTCCATAGATGAGATTTCTTCTCAAGAAATATCGCTGAGATAAGCAGCTGCAGCTAATTCGAAAAGTGGAGGACAAGGCTATACACGCTGTCATTGCAAAAAGAAGTGTTCTACAAATAAATGCAGTTGTAAAAGCAAGGGACTCTTGCACAATTCAAAGTGCCAAGTTTAAGTTGTTGCAATAAATAAAATTGTATAATGTTAATCACATAATTTATGTGTAAGTTTATTATTGTATTATTTTCTTTAATGATTTAGAATGCACTGTTCATTTTAGGTTTAACAGTTTATTTACATGTGCTGTTACTTAAGCTTTCTCCTATTTTGACATATTAAAAAGTTGCATTTTTGTCTTAAAATGTAATAAAAATATTTTTATTCAACATTCACCATCAGTGCATGCTGAATGTCGACATTTACCAGTGTAAGTGAGAAATAATGATATTTAGCAAATATTTCGTACATACACAAAACGACTGTGTGAATGCTGACATTCACCGGAGAATGTTGACATTCGCCAGATATCGTTCATTCACAGTAACATATATATATACAGTAGATCCCCCTATAAAACCGTTTCCTATAGTTATGATTCCTATAAAAATTGTGGCATTATCCGTAAACAACGGTAAAAATAACTCCTATAATACGTAAAACGTCATCGGGCAGCCGAACTACTTACCCGCCGTCCGTAGCGCCACGCTACGGAGAGATTTCTATCGTCTGGACAGTATTATATAAATTATATATAAATTAGGTACTGTACATATAATTATATATTAATTATATATAAATTAGGTACTGTATATATAATTATATATTAACTTAATTTATTGTAACTTTATTATAATTAAATATATATTTTTCGCCGTCTAGCGTCACGCTACGGCGAGTTAGGCGACCTATCGTCTGTTCAGTACTGTAATTTTATACATTTCTTGTGAAAGAAACATTTCTTATTCAACGGCCATAAAAATTATTTATATTAATGATGTCTCCAAAGGTCAACGAAGTTTTCGCAGAAAAATAATATCAGAAATCGCGGCTGCGGTTTGATGTGCTGTTCCGCGTCGAAACCAAGCTTTAGCAACGGGCGTAGTCGAACGGTAACACTCGGTAAGCAATCCTACAATTTTTTGTTTATAACGTAGTTTATACGGATTATTTAAAAAAAAATATACGTATTTTGGAAATGTTGAGTCGAATTACTCTAGAATCGATTAATTTTATGAAAGAAAACCTTTCAAACAGCCGTAGTCCGTAAACTATGATTCCTACAAAATTGATTCATAAAGAACGGAACGTATCTACCGTCTTATAGGGGGATCTACTGTATATATATTGATACATAGATTGCTTAGTTGGTTTTATATGTATACCAGTAAACCTTGAATATCAAATAAATATCAAAAATAATATTAATGGTTTTACCATCTATGAACATTTCTGAATTCTAACTCAAATACAAGCCTGGTCTCCCAGAGCAGCAGACTAACATTTTTATTGCCTTGGTCATTCAGCTGTTATATCAATGATTATAATATTTTTAAGGCAGTAATTATTGTTAGATTTGATATTCTCTTAGTTGTGATAAGATTCATGTAAATATGAAGTTTCACAATAAGTTTTATGAATTTGTTATAAAAAAATTACTGAATTCTTCTTTGTGATAAATATAAGTAATCTGATATATAAAAAAAACATCTGAAGAAAAAAAATCAAAATAGATAATTTTATGCTTCATTTTGCATAAGCTGTATTGCATTTATGAAATTATATATTTAAACTGTATCTAAAATTTCAAGTACTGACCTGTTATTGATATTTGTTTCAAAATTATTATTTAAGTGAGACTGCAGTTTTCGAGTAAATCTCTTCAATTCTAACTGTTTCTCTTTCTAGTTAAAAAAAAAATAAATTTAAACTTTAATACTTTATATTATTATACCTTATCTGTGACAATAAATACATGTACACCTCATGTGCAGTTGTCATGAACAGTAAGAAAAGCAGAATTATTTGCGTTTTGATTAAAAATATTTTTTACTAAACAAAATATTTTACTTGAGCTGTATTCTACAACAAAAATCAGTACATACACTATAACAGGCATGCATTGTAATTTACACCTGGAAACATCATTCTGCTCAAAACACAGAGGTAGTAAATTTACATTTACTCTGCACTTGCACCATTTTCTTGTATACAAGTCAGCAACTTGTCTAGGCATTGATTTGAAATAGGCACAACAAAGTTCTTGTGGAATGTTGATCCATATTTCAACTGATCTTTTGTTTGGGGCATGTGGTTTTGCACCTCTTTCTTGAAGACATATCACACTCCAGGACTTGGACCCAATTTTAGCAAAACCAAGCAGTGGAGTAGGTGGAATAAGATGAGATCTTGGTGAAATCACCTCTCCCTGTGAACATAGACTGGCCACAAAAGCCTATGTAAAATCACCAGGCAGTATTGTGCATTGACAATCTCATCATATAGAACCAAGTTACCAATGCCAGAAAACCAAAAGTCCCTATATTTATATCATGACTGAAAACTTTACTTCTTGCTTTATATAGTTTTGCATGAGTTCTTTATTGGGTCATCTGATGGCTCTCCACTTGATATTTCCTTATAGGACTGGTAAAAATGACTCATCAGACCAAATCAACCTTTGCCATTGAGTTTTCTCCCAAGACAGGGAAGATTACCTTGCTCATTCAAACTGCCTCCTATTTAGAACTGATGTTAATATGAACTTCTGCTTACTCTTGTGTGAATGTAGCCAATATCATGTAACCTGTTGCTAGGAGTTTGATAATATACAGAATGGTCTGTGTTTGCTCCACAATTCTGCTCCCTCCAGGTCAGTATTTCATGACAAGGCATTGCAAAATTTAATCATTCCTGGCAGTAGTCATTGGTGATCTATGATTGCTGCATCCAGGTATAGTGGAACTGATTTCTTTATAGTGTTTAATTAAGGAACAACATTTTGACAGTAGATGCATTCAAATACAATTTTCAAGAAATTTTCCACATAGTCACTCTATTGTGTCATTTCTAGAGAATCTGCTACATACCAGCATTCTTAACCTCTTTCTTTTGTTTCAAGTTCTAATGTCAGTTATTATTATATTGCCCTTCATGTACTGTACATATTGGTGACTATGCAAGGCACACAAGGCAGCAAAAATTTATCCGTTCAGCTAAGCACAGCTGTGAATGCGGGGTGCATGTAAATTTTTTGCCTCCATGTTTCGAATAGAATGATGTTTCAGCATACATTGAAATGCCTGTTATAGTGTATTTTTGTTGCAGAGCCTAGTTCAAGTGGAGTACTTTGTTTAGTAAAAAGTTTTCATGCATATTGCAAATGATTCTGCTTTCTTTACCATTTATGATAAGTGCACATAGGATGTGCATACATTTACTGACATGGATAAGGAAATAGAAATTATATTACAGTCTTATTAAAATTTTAATAGTTTATATTATTATAAACTATAACTAGAACATAAAAGTTACATTTTTAAGACTCATGCAATTTTATTTTCATTTGTTAATGCAAAATAAATAAGACTTTGAGACACAGTTTCCTCAACAATCAAGTAAAATTTGTTTTATACTAATTTATATCATCGAAGAGTTGTAATGTCTTAATAATCGTTTGTTCTGTTTTTTCAACAAATATTAATTGTATTGTTTAAATAATTTTTGTTTACCTCATCTTTCATAATGTAATTTTATTATTGTCCTACTACGTTTAGTTTTAGGAAGCTTTAAAAATGAATTTTATAAACATAAATAAAGTGTTCAGAAAATTAAATTATATTATAGGGTATATCTATATGCATCATACAATGCAACATAGAACTGCATGTACTGAAATGTATTTCAATATTCACTGATGTGACTGCAGAGTCCTCACCATGTCAAGATGCAATATCAGGACTGACACCACTGTGCCTTAAGGGATACAGAAATCACAATGGCCATTAGATGTTAGTTTCACACATGAGCAATTGTGTTTGTAGGCAGTTGGATTTGGGATGGAGGAGGTCTGAGAGACAGCATGCCCAAAAAAAGTGCACTCAACTATGGATTTTCTAAACAAACTTGTTTATTTACATAGGATTATACATACATACATACATACTACAGTTAACTATATAGTAATCAAATAGTATATAAATTATATCATGTCGAATTCCTAACAGAGAGAGCGAGAGAGTTTACAATCAGACGTGAGGTGATAAATATCTTAGAATTTCCAAAGAGATGAACCTTTTTCCTTGGGACTTCAAGAGGTGTAATGTATGGCGTTGAAAATGTTCCAAAGATTTTATAGATGTGCGGACATTGGTAAGATGTCCCTGGATGGGGGATAGCTTTTGCAGATAGGTAGATGCAAATCCAAGAGTAAATTGTCTGAGGTCTTAAATAGTTGAACAGCCAAAGAACTGTTCAAGAGAGTCAAGGCTGGCGACTAACAAGACAGTGAACCCTAACTGACCAACCAACTAGAGATGATCGACAAACTCTCTCTGCTTTCGTCATCAATCCTCTTCTTTTATTTTGGGGGCCCTCCTCCTCATTACTCATGTCCTTTTTTGGTAATATTAAAGTCTATGTCCAAAGTGCAAATTTGTGCCATTTGGTTTCAGGTAAACTCATAGATGTGTCAACTTTGAAAGGAAACGAATCCGGGTGAAGGTGTAGTCATATCCTACTATGCATATGTAGCTAGAACTATTTCTAAGACTAACAGCACAAAACCTTTCTCACTAATTTCTAGCCTTAGTTTCTCCCTGGTGTCGTATACCTATCATCGACGAAGACGTCACGGGTAAGACGACACCTGGGTAAACATTGGCAGCATTTAAACTTCTTCTAACCGACGCTCCACAGTGTACCCGAGGAAGGCCTATTAAGAAGGCTAGAAATTAGTGAGAAAGGTTTTGTGCTGTTAGTCTTGTAGTCATATCCTCCAAATTTTTTGTTGGGAAAAACTTTAACAAATTTTAATGTTATTCTTCTGGTTTTGTTCTAAAAATTTTTGAGCCAAAGTAACCAACAACAGTTTAGAGAGCCAGGAGTTGACAAAAAATTGAATTTTTTGTCAACTCCTGGCTCTCACACTGATGAGTACATCAGTGCAGCATCTAATACACATTGCATTCATTGGGCTGTGAGTATGATAAGCTTTGATAAAGCAATGTGACCATCTCCATTATTATATTTAGCAATATTAAAAAATATTCACAAAAATTGATTAAGATGGTTAACATGTAATATTTTTAATCCCACACATCATAATAATATAAGATCTTTTTATAATTTAAAAAAAATTACTATCTAATTGAAATATAGATTGTGTCACTAGTAGTAAGTGGACGACTTAATGCATTGAGAATTAAACATGAAGTGTTATCATTTTTTATATAGAGGTAACTTGTTTATTTTAAAAATGGCTAACTATACAGCAAATTCCTTAAGCCAATATAATACTGCTTGCATCTGCCATCTTGTCAGATTGCCAGGCATTTCAGTAAAAGCTTATTAAACTATTCATCAGTGCATTGCTTGTGGCCGAGACTGATGCATACTGGAATGTGCCCAGTGTCAGAAAATTTTTTGTTCTTGTCAATATATTTAGCTCCATAAGAAATTTTTATCAATCTCATTTCTATTCTATATGCAATATCATTTCCTTGTTGGTTTCTGTTTACACCCTTCATTAGTATTTGAGTAAACAGTAAATATAAACTTTTAAAAGAATGAACTCACACATAAAACTGTAATGCAACTTAAAAAAGAATAAAAACAAAATGCGCATATGTATTACAATATTATGCTTTGTATATTGTGATCAACAATAATTCAATAAAATAATATTTGAATAAATTAATATTATTCTAACTATTCCAAATATTACTATTCAAATAACTTCAAAAAGAACTCAATAATGTCTTTTTCCTTTCATATTATAAGAGGATGTTTTCATTAAATCTCTGAAAAGCTGTTCTTTCTAATATAAAAAACAGTTATTCCAGTTATAAAAACACAAATTTTGAAGTTTTAATATTGTTACATAAATATTACAGACTAATAAAACTGTAAATTATCAATGCAGATTAATTTTTCTTGCTCTTTCTCTAACACACATCTAGCTGATTTTGTTGTTGGTTATTAATAACTTATATAAATGTTCAACTGGTTTTTAATATAATATACAATCTAAAATATGATTTTAGATATTATATAGAAAACGTTGGCAAGAAATTTTATTTTTCTATTTTGAGCTTTTGCTGTAGTTTTTATTTATTTTTTATTCATAGGATCATTCCAGGTTCAGATACTCTTGTGTATGTAATAATTTTAGAGAGATTAACGTTTACAGTAACTTATGTTTTTAAACAAATAACATAATGAATGTTTTGTTTTAAAATGGTAAATCTGAAAAATCTAAAATCTCTTTTTAGTTTGTAATATGTTGTAAAACAACTTGATAAAATGTCTTAGACAATGTTTTCAAGTTTCCATGTATGTATAATTCCAATATTGTACAGTACTGTACATACATACAGTCACCTAACTTTTTCATCTCCAATAATTTTAACTGTTGTTGTCACATAAAATAAATCAGATGAAAATTAAAATATAACAAAAATATCAGATGTCTTCATCAATAATACATCAGACATTATATGTCTGATGTATTATTTATTTATGATGGAGACATCTGATGTTTTTTATTAATATTAATAAAAAATAAATAAATAATACATCATAAATCTATACTAATATAATAAAGAGGTAATGTTTGTATGTTAGTTTGTATGCAGCAGGTAATCTCCAAAACTACTCATCCGATTTCAAAAATTCTTTCACCAATATTTAGAATGGAACCTCAGACATAGGCTGTCGAATACATGTCGAAATTACCCCATTGGGGGGAGAGGGACAGGATTAAGGCTTACTGTGAAAAACTTGGCTTCTATTATACTATTTTATATGCGGGTTTTTGCGTTTTTGATTGCGTTTTAATAGAGTACGTCAACAGAACGTACANTTCTGTGAAAACGGGTAAGGTTGACTGTAACGTAATAATCTTTATCTTAGTTATCGTTACTTTTGCCCGAGCAATGCCGGGCCCACCTGCTAGTATATATAATCATATATAGTAAAGAGTAAGTCACAAAGTCACAAATTGTTATTGGAAGTGAAAAAGTTAACTGTTGTTGTCACATAAAATACATCAGATGAAAATTAAAATATAACAAAAATATCAGATGTCTTCATCAATAATACATCAGACATTATATGTCTGATGTATTATTTATTTATGATGGAGACATCTGATGTTTTTTATTAATATTAATAAAAAATAAATAAATAATACATCAGACATATAATGTCTGATGTATTATTGATGAAGACATCTGATATTTTTGTTATATTTTAATTTTCATCTGATGTATTTTATGTGACAACAACAGTTAACTTTTTCACTTCCAATAACAATTTGTGACTTTGTGACTTACTCTTTACTATATATGATTATATATACTAGCAGGTGGGCCCGGCATTGCTCGGGCAAAAGTAACGATAACTAAGATAAAGATTATTACGTTACAGTCAACCTTACCCGTTTTCACAGAATGCAAGAATTGGGTCCCCTTGTTTCCAGACTAATTAGAGAATTTTTAGATGGTTCTAAAAATATGTTCGATTTCCCGCAAAAATGAAAAAACTGCATCTGTGCCTGTAAATCTTGCACGTCGCTTTCTCTTAACAATTCCATTGTTACGTAACACTTCCATTGTTACTTAAAACTTCCATTGTTACTTAACACTTCCATTGTTGATGGAAGTGTTAAGCCTTAATCCTGTCTTTCTCCCCCGGGGGAATTTCGAAAAATCCCTTCTTAGTGTGCATTCTCGTGACGTACCCTAACTGTGTACCAAATTTCAACTTTCAACTCCTAACCGTTTGGGCTGTGCGCTTATTATTATTATTATTATCAACCCATCTCGATTATATTATAGATGTGTGTGTGTGTGTGTGTGTGTGTTAGTGCTAGAATAAAACATAATTCAATATTTTTTCAATATTTTTAATAAAACAATTTATAAAAGTAACTTTTAAAGATACTATCTTTTTTTAAATTTTATCAATAAGAAAATTTACTTATTTTTCTAATTCATAATTTGAAGAATGATAATGCTTTTAAATATATTCTTAATCAAATAACAATGTGATTTTATTTGTTTATAGTTTTATTATATTTATGTTTGTTTCATGCATATATAATCATTTTTATGTGATTTATAAATAAATAAATAAAATTCATACCTCTGTTAAATACTTATTATAGTCAGAATTTCTTTCTTTTATTAATTGTTTACGCTTATTTTCATATTCACCAAGAGGTAATCCTTGAAATTCTGACTGTTCAAAAGTAATTAAGGGTTTCCTTCTTTGTGATATGTTTTTTTCAATGTCTGTATTAACACTCCAGATTGTTGAAAATATTGCATTTCCTGACTGTGAAATAAATATAAAATAATAAATTTCTTATTATATACAATATAAAATTTCATTACTTATATATATTATTCAAAATCATCACAAAGAAACTTACTTCTTATTTAATAACAAGTTATATTCTTATGCAACTATTTAACTTTTATTAATAGTGTTAATAACAATTTAGTACTTACCTATATAGTCTTTTTTAATTAATAATACAGCTAATTAAACTCTTCTTTGTTAAAGACAAAATAAACACTAGCAAACAATGAAAAATAGATTCAGATTTAAGCATATGCTGATTTGATGAGACTAGATACATATGGAGTAAAGAATTAATAATGAAACTCCAAAAAAAAAGAAAGATGGATATTCAACTTGTAAGGCATTCTTTATTTTATTAGTGTTCAATCTTTGTTTGTTGGAATGGAAGAAATGATGAATGTAAGTAAATTACTGTATATAAAAAATTCTACATCTAGATCTGTGACATTATTGAAAAATAAATTTGGAAAAAATATTACTGAATGAAATGATCACATTAACTGCAATGTTCAAGTTAATGTTTACTTGAAATAAAGGATGTTAAATATAAGAAAACAAAAACAAAAGTATTCAAGTATTACTCCAAATTTTAAATATCTATAAAACAAAATTCCAGAAAATCTAGAATCAGAAATCAGAGCATTTTCTTTACAGAATGAAATTTTCCACAAAGTTTAAAAACTGGACCCTTTAAGCATTATGATGAAGAATTCCTCAACATCTTCCTAGGTGGGGCAATATAGCATCATTCACTTGGCTCCTCAGTTTCACAATGACATCAGTCTAGAAACAATTTTGAAAGATAATGACATCTCATGGGCTGGCCAAAGAACTTAAGAGTCTAGACTGTGCCATTTTGCCTGTTTTTCAATATTTGATTGTAGAATCAATCTTTGAATAGAGCAATTTTATCAACACATCAATATATTACCAATTTATAGTTCAATAAATAATAATCAAAGTTCAATCAGTTTTAGAGCCCATTTTCACTGATTCTGAAATGTGTCCCAGTTGGATTGTAACTGTTATGGTCTGCTCATTTAAAGGGTACCAATCCTGTTGGAAAGCCCTGCACTAGATCTACAATGAGAAAGGTCGTATAACGTGGAATATCTCCAACATATCAGGCAAATTGCACATGAAATTTCTAAAGAGCCGATCCAGATTTTAACATAGTCCACAGATCAGCAGGCTGATACTTTTACAACTTTAACCATATGACCTAAAGGGATGCTTCGCTCATTTGTTCAAAAATTCGTGATGATTCGTCTATTTCTGATGTCACCATCTCTATTTTCCTCATGATAGAAAAAAGTGTTGTGACAATTTTTAGCTAAGTATTTTATCTAGAGATGGATTAATGGTTACGGTAAAATTTATTAACTGTAATTATTGAAGATATTGCTCTAATATCTTCAATAATTACAGTTAATAAATTTTACCATAACCATTAATCAGACACCAGAGAAAGAGACATTTCTATAATTGTGGGTTCCCAGACGAGGTTCGAACTCGAGTAAACCGTGAAATTCTTGCGCGACACGAGATGTAAACAACGAGATTCGGAACGATTCGAGTATGTGTCAACTATCTGTTAAGGTCTTAGCGGAAGACAAACTCTAACACGAGCGCTCATAAACAGGTAGATCTTTAACTCGCATGTCTATAAAATGTTGGCCGAGATAAACCTTTTCGAACAAAAAATAGAGGGATTTTTGATAGGTGAAAAATTGTGCTGTGCATCCGCCGATCACCGAGGACGCCGCAACGTAACAACGAACTTCTGCTTCGTCCAGATATCTTTCTCGTCCGCCCGAACTGCGACCCATCACACGAACTTTCGCCATTCCCAGGAGCACCGAGATTTTGGAATTGTCCATTATCGATGTAAGCATGAATTCGAACAAATAAACGGGTTTTATTTTGTAAAACACTTGTTCATCATTTGCCTCCTTCGCCACCGCCCACATACGCGGTTTCCCTTAGGCTCATTCTGACGTGAGATAGACTTTTTCCCCCTCAACGTCGGCAAACCTTACACTGGCATCAGAAGTCGGATTTTAGGCCCAATATACACCAGAGTTAACCTTACATAATAGCTTTAATTTAACGAAAAACAACAAGAACAAAAATAGTCAGATAATTTTCAATTCTTCTATAAATGAATTACAAGAATTTGGAAATAAATTTTAATGCCAAAAGAAAAGAGCATTAAAATAAATGTTTTAATCCTCTTTGATTCCTTGAGAAAGTTAGTATTTTATTGAGGAAGAGAGGTTGTTTATATGAATTTGCAAATATTCAACGGACAAATCGATTTGATCCTGATAAGTTTCGTATAATTTCGGAAGAGTAAAGAATGATACGTAAGCCATATTAAGCAGGGTCATTCCATTGAACCAGGAACCGATGTAAGTCATACAAAAGAGGATTAATCCGAATTTGAATGAATCCATTACCATTTTCCATTAAGAAAAGTCTCTGCAAACTCTTCAAATATTCATTAGCGTATTCTACCAAGATATCCATGTACTAATGAATCTGGTCTGATGACAATATATCCATATTAAAACAATTTCCAAATGAATCTTCTTCGAATTGAGTTAAATATGAAACCATTCCCATCATCATACTGATCAAAGATAAATAGGCAATAACACTTATGATTGAGTAATAAGTGAGAGAAAGCAGGGCTAATCCAGTTCCGAAAATGATTCCGGTTTTGTAAAGATCTTCCCAGTACACAAAATCTCTTTGTGTTGGAGGAATCCAATCGGCTTTTAACACATTCAATATAATTTTTTTTTATCATTAATTTTCAAGGTTTTTCATTTTTCTAGCAAGTTTGCATCCATATTCAATATCCTCTTCTATGTTTTCGGGATTCATCTTTCATCAATATTATAAGATTCGAATTTAGAATACAGTATAAATTAAATTTTAAATGGAATGCAATATCAAAAAGTATGGAAATTACATTATTTTGGTTTAATTAGATATAATTTTAATTAAATTATTATTCGAATATAATTTTTAAAAAATCCAGCAACTTGTTTCTTTCTTCTTCTTCGATGGTGTTTATATGGAGATTTTAGCTCAATGTAGGCTCTTTTTCCGAGTAGACTTGTGTATGTGTATGATCGCTAGGCGACCGATTAGCAGGCTGTATCGAACAGCCATACGTACGCGCGGGAAATAAATGCCTTCCGGGAGGACTTTTTATGGGGAACTGGCCTCCTATTCAGTCGTTATTGGCAAGGAGAAAACCCGGAAAACTCCAAGCAGCCAGCCTGTCCGACCGTGGCGCGAACCCACGACGAACCTCCCAGTCTTTAGGGTCTGGTCACCACTACGATGAGCGGCAACGGAGACCACTCGCCCACTGGTGGGGGCCCAGCAACTTGTTTAACTTTTCAGGCAACTTTTAAAACTCATGTGTGGCGCCATCTGTTATAATAATTTATTTTTTAAAATTTATATTTTTAATTATTATAAAATGGCAATAAGCTTAATTTTGAGGATAGGAATGGGTTTTATAAAAAAAAAAATTGCAAATGCTAATAACGAGTAAAATTGTCATTAGTCCGACCCTACTCTAGATATGACATACGATCCATCTTTATCTCCCAACCACGTCCACCTTTAACCACCAAAATTTAATAGTATCTACCTTTTTTTTTTTCAACTCTTTCAGCCCTGTGGGCACTAAGAGGGCCTCTTTTTAGTATGCCCATTATGGGTTATGCTACGCCCACAATGGGGCGCCGGGTGGTGAGGACGGGGCCCGATATATCCTAACGGATCCCTCCAAAAAATTCCTGGGGATTTTTCGACCAGTCCCGATTCGAACCTGGGTCCCCCAAAGCGTAGGCTGCCACCTTACCAGCTCGGCCTTCCGGCCTAGCATCAACCTCTAATACACAAACCTCCCTGCAAAATTTCAGAAATTTTCCACAAAAAGCACGCGTTATTAAGCTTCAAAGAGGGTGAACAAAATCGTGTCCCTCCATACAAACACACTAACATCCAAACATTCAGAAAAAAAAAATCCCGAATCTTTTGCTTTTCTCGGCGTTTCAAGGTCCAGAGTCCAAAAATTTTCCGACTGGATATGTCGGCTTCGTCCCTCACCATCCAGCTGCCCCATCTGTGGACCTGGCCGACTCTTTCAGGCCTGTGGGCTTACTAAAAGAGCCCTCGTTAGTGCCCACAGGACGGAAAGAGCTTTAAAAAATCCAAAAATGTAAAAATCTCGAGAGTTATTTTTTGACCGATTGCCGTACTTTCCTGGTCCACCAGTGGCCAGTGGAGTACCGTAGTGGGGGCAGCAGGGGCGGCCTCCCCGGGCGGCACTTTTTAGAGGGCGGCAAAATTACCTTTTAGGGGCGGCAAAATTTCACAATAAATAATAATAATATCTTGTAAGAATTTGAAACATCCTAATCTATACTTGCATCGCGCCTACGATAGTCACTACCGCCGAATTTTTCATTGCTTGTTCTGTTGACAAAACTCAATTTTGGTCTTTTAAATTGAAATACTGTACCTAAATAAGGCGGGGACCGAAATTTTCCTCCGCCCCGGCCGGCTGACACCCCCGGTACGCCACTGGCAGTGACCAAGGTGTCTTCGTACCCTGAACACTGGGAGTTCGGTCATCGGTTCGCGCCTCGCTCGGACGGGCTGGCCACGTGAAATTTTCCGGGTATTCTCCACGTCTGTAACGCCTAAATATGAGCCAGTTTCCCTTAAAAAGACCTCCCGGAAGACATCCCCTCTAGGCAGATCGCTCAAGTGTTGCGTTGCCATAACGCAAACAAACCAAATAAAACCATACTTTCCCCATTATATATAACAGCCGAGAAATGAGAAAACGCCAATCCTACTTGTTTGACTTATATATTTCAACTAAGATTTTGTCCGGATGCTCTCATGGGTTCGGTCATGTCTGCCTGTGGCCGAATCCATGA